TGAGGTCCCTTTTAAATCTTTCTCCTGTCACCTTAAAACTATGCCCTTTGGTTTGGGGTCCCACACCACGGAGAAAACATCTTTTTGATTTACTCTGTCCATGACCCTCATGATTTTATGAACCTCAATAAGGTCACCTCTCAGCCTCCAACGCTCCACGGAAAATAGCCCCAGTTTATTCAGCCACTGCCTAAATCTCAAACCCTCCAAACCCTGGCAACATTCTTGTAAATCTTTTCTGAGCTCGTTCAACTTTAACTGCATTCTTCCTACAGCAGGGTGACCAGAACTGCACGCAGTAATCCACAGTGGTCTATCCAATGTCCTGTACAGTCGGAATGTGTCTTCCCAGCTCTTAGACACAATGCTCTGAATAATGGAGGCGTCTCCTTCACGGGAGTGTCTCAGACCAGAGGGCGCAGTCTCAGAATAAAGCAGCACCAATTTAAGACTGAGATGAGCAGGACTTCTGACATTTTAATGATCCAAAAATGGCAGGAACATGACTGAACTGCAAAGAGCCCGATGTTTCCATTTTCCATTTTAAATGGTACAGAAAACTGAAGATTAAGGTGCTAATGAATGAATGCATGCACATTTTAAGAATGTCAAAGCCAATTCTCAGACGGAGCAAAACAGTTCAGTGAAACAGATCTGATGAATTAAAGTCTAGACATGCACATATTGGTTCATTATTAGAATGATGCATGCATTTATTTTTCTTGGACAAAATACAGTTTGGTTGTTGTCATTCCTTATGAGAGTTACTACAGTGGTAACCATACAGCTGCAAAATGGAACTTGGTATTGCAAGGTGAAATAAATCAGGCATTTATTGTGAAATATTAAAATATGACTAGCTGTAAAAAGTTTAAATGTTATCCAACTAGATAGCCCAATTTTAAATTAGAAACCCAAAAATATAAAGCCTCTGTCTTTTCCATTCCCATGACTAACTCAGTATTTCCAAAATTCAAGAGCCAATCCATCTATATTACAACTCAACTCTGTACAGCACACTTCTTTTTATTGGAACATTCACTCAAACACTTTTACTATTATCAATGAACTGACTTGATAGAGCAGCATTAACTTCTTCCATCACTCTAAATTAGCGCTGAGCAGTAGATATTGTACATTACGGAGTACAAGATGTCTAATCATATAAAACAGTACATCTTCCAAACCACCAAAGCCGATGCCACTGGAGATCATTCAGCAACTCAGATGTCAGGGGCCATTTTCAAATTGTGGAGAACTCGGATGTGATGTGTTGCTTAGAAAATCAGTTCTTTTCAAAGTCCTTTAGAGTTTCTCTTATGGTGCTTCAGCTGTTGTCGAAGGCAAGAAGTAAAAGGCTACCGTTCGATGAGGAAGGGCGGTGGTGGGTGAGGAGACAGATCCCCAAAATCCTTTGCATGTTTCAGTTTGTTCTTCACAGGGTTAATCAGTGTGACATATTAAGAGAAAACATATGCACCATGAAAAGGTAGCTGTAAGCCCCTGTGACATATAATTTATCTATTTAGATACTGAAAATGTTAGTATCAGTTACTTACGCTTACTTTCCCTAGTACATGGAGGGTATGCTTGGCATGCGTACTTTGTAGAAGCATTCCTGTGGATCATAAATGACCATTGTTACTTGTAGTGGTTTCCTCATTCATTAAACTTCGGGTACCCTACGAACATTACAGCAGGGAGGCATAGACTGGAGAGAAGTACAAATGCACAACCATCCTTTCAGTCCATAAGCTTCCACAAATTACATAAAAGGCAATGAGAAGAGTTTGTTTTTATCACAACAGTGCCAATAATAAAGAGCCTTTGAAAAGGCCTGCGCGTTCAGACAGCTGGCAGCGATATACAGGATCAGTCAAAGGTTCAGTGATATTTGCTCAGTTGGCGGTGTAATTTCACCATCTGGTAATGGAGGAATTGAGACATTCCTGTTTTGTCCATTTGCTGCAAGTAGCAGTATTAACAATGACTGAATATTGTTTGTATCCTTCCAAATGTGGATTTGATTTGAAGAAATAATTTTGAAAACTGTGTAACACCAAAGTGAAGCAATGGCGTAAGACATTTTTACTTGAAAAATTGAAAACATCACAACAGGCACAACACTAAAGCATTACGGATTCAGTCTTGCTTTTCCATGGGCATATAAGTATCAGTATAAGTAAGCCCATTGACAGCATGTAAATGGACCGTCTGGTTCTCATGCTCAGTTTTATTCCAAGCTACCCTCTGGAATAGCAAGTATCCATGTAGACATGTCAGGAAAATGCAGAACAGTCACAAGCTTTGGGGATAAGAGGACAACCATTCTGTTACATATGTAACTAGGAATATTGATCGAGTCAAAATGTTTGCAGAGGTAAAAATGGGCCGGACAAGGGTAACGCCATTGACATGGTATACATGGATCTCAAGAAGACGTTTGATTGACGTCAGACATGACAGAAGTTATAGGTCATGGTATGAAAGTAACAGTGGCAACATGGATACAAAGTTGGCTGAGTGGTAGAAAAAAAGAGAGTGATGGATAATGGTTAGTAGATATTTTTCAGGCTGTAGCAAGTTTTGTATTGGAGTTTCATGGGGGGAGGGATTGGGCCCCTTTACCGCCTAAGAAATATTTTGTGAGCAGGGGACAATTTCGAAGTTTGCATATGAGACTAAATTTGGAACAACTGTAAACTGAGGGGATGGTGACATTTGGTGGACTGGGTGGATAACTGGCAGTTGAGGTTCAATGTGCAAAGTTATGCACTTTGGACATTAAAGACAATACAACAGAGGTATAACTCTAAAAAGGGACAGCAGGGCCTGTTTATGTATACACATATGCACAGATCATTCAAGATGGCTTGCAAAAGATATTTTGCCCCAATTCCTATGTAAAACCAATGTCTTCAATGCTGATCACTAAGCCAGTGTCTTTTTGTTTTCATCAGCCTGTTCAGACATATTATGACACACCTCTGGAGGAGCTAAGACTTGAACTCAGGGCCTCCTGGCTCAGAAACAGGAACACCAACACTATGCCACAACAATCCCCGAAGCCAGCGATCCTTGCAGAAGGAACAAGCATGTGGTCACTGGGGAATGAATAAATTGTGCTCAGCTTTGATGTTACCCCACAGAAAATCAGCAGCTGATGGCCTAAGTTCACTTTTCAAGAACGGGGACTTAATTAAGATACTCAAGGGTTTCTAGTTTCTATTTGCTATCACGAGGAAGCTGTCTAAGCAAAGGACAAAAATGGGCAAAACGAGAAAAACAAAGCAATTGAATAATTTTGACCAATTATTCCCCTTGACACGAATCCACAGCTCAGCATAAGGTGACATTTACCACAAAGAGGAGACAATGAGGGTCACCTAAGAATATTTGTAAAACTCACCTACCAGGAGCATTCAAAGACTGGAATTTAAGCAACGGTAGTGTCATTGATATACAGCACAGAAACAGACCCTTCAACCCAACTTGCCCATTCCAAGCAGGTTTCCTAAACTGAACTAGTCCCATTTGTCAGCATTTGGCCTATCTCCTTCTTAACCTTTGCTATCCATATACCTGCCCAAATGCCTTTTAAATGCTGAGATTGTACTATCTCTGGTGGAGTTCGGGAAGGAGTGCATGGAGGTATGTTAAACTATATCAGTTTCACAATTTCTAACATCAACACTGGTTGCCATTGGGCAGCATTAATACAGTATCCAAATGGTCACCAAATTCACTGCAAGCCAGACAGCATCTGGAGGAAAGGAGAAGTCACAGTTTCGGGTATTACCATTCTTCAGGGCTGGATGTGGGGGTAGGGCGAGCTGCAGATTGGGGGGGGGGGGGTTGTGTGGGGGGGGGTGGTGGAGAGTGGTGGTAACTGAATGGTGGCGATAGGTGGACATCAGTAGTAGGTACAACTTGGTTGGTCAATGGGAGGGATTAATCTGGTTGTCCCTTCCAGCTACCAGTCAGTAGGTGGAATGGAAGGGATGACATGGAGCTGGATCGGGAGCTAGGGGATGGGTGGGAAGGTTGTTTGAAATTAGAGAACTCGAGGTTGATTCCACCAGCTGTATGGGGCCGAGGTAGAAGATAAGGTGCTCTGAATTGCTGCGAAACTGGAATAGGCAAAGGACAGACATATGGGGTGGGGAGGGAGGGGTGAAGTGGCCAGTGATCAGGAGGTTAGGCTGGCCATTACAGGCCAGGTGAAAATGCTCAGCGAGACGGTCACCTTGTCTACGTTTGGTCTCACCCATGTACAGAAGACCACAATGGGAGCACCAGAAGCAATCGACTACGTTGGAGGAGATGCAGGTGAAGCTCTGTTTCACCTGGAAGTTCTGTTTAGGACCCTAGATGGAGGTGAAGGAGCTGCTGTGTGGGCAGGTGTTGCATCTTTTACAGTTACAGCGGAAGGTGCTGGGGGAAGGGGGGACGTGGTTGGAGTGGTTGGTGGGGAGTGTAGTGCAAACTAAGGAGTGGCAAAGGGAATGGTCCTTGTGGAAGGCAGACAAGGGTGGGAGTGGAAAATGTTCCAGGTGGTGGGGTCTAATTGGAGCTGGTGCAAGTGTTTGAGGATGATACGTTGGATGCGGAGGCTGATGGGGTAGAAAGTGAGGACAAGGAGGATCTACCTTGGATTCCAGCATCTGCAGTTCATTTGTCTCTTAGAAATGAACATGCTAAATAAAAAGTCTCCAACTCCAAATCTGGCTGCTGCCCAAAATTCTTCAGAATGCCAGCAGAATATATGGTGAGGTATTGATATTTTCTGGTATTCTGGTGAGAGTGGCAAACGACAATTTAATGCATTCTATTTGATGTTTAACTGGACATTTCAATATTGAATTATCATCCAGGTATTCACAGTGCAATATTTTCTCCAACTCAAAATGATAAAATATTTCAATAAGCTGAAAATAACTGAGTCAACCTGAAGGGAGATCATCATGACACATTAACTGCACAAAGATGACGTCATTACAATACCTTATTACTGAAGGGATAATGAGAGGGACAAAGAGCTACAAAAAATTATTTTCAAGGCCATAACCAGAAATTGGAGTTTAAACGACCGTTAAACATGGCTTAAATTATACTTGCAGTTCATGATGTCATCTGAACCCCTTGATAAAGCTGTTTCCTTGCCATGTTGACATCCATAACTGTCTTTTTAACATCATCCAGAAAAACAATGAAATATTACTTGCTTCCAAGCCTGTAGATAACATCGTCCTCTGTCAAAAATGAAGTTAGGTCACTGGTCTCTGCTCTCTCATAACGCGATTTCTTTTTCGGTGGTTTCTTTATTTTTGACTTCTTCCCTGCAGCCTCATTAGTAGCACTGTCCTTGTCGTTTTCTTCATCTACAATGTGGTCACTTTCTATATATGTGGCCTGGAATGCTCATTCTCTCACTTATCCCTTCTCTCTCTCTGCCATCACGATTCGCCACATTCCTTCCTCTGTCCTCTCAAGGCTTGGCCTCCGTGAAAGGTAGACAGTAAGCCTGGGCTTCAGTCTTCTGAATTTCACACTCAATTCCAGGAAAAATCCAGCCACTCCAACAACCCAAAACGTTATCAACAGCTGAGGAAGAAATGACAAAGAGAAGCGGATTACAAAATGATGTTAACAAAACAGTACATTCCAAATATGTACCTATCCATTTTGCTGAAAGGTAGCAGGAAACAAGAACAAAAAGGAAAAGAAGTGCTATCTATCACAATGACAGAGTTGCTAATTGAAAATCGGCATTTTCACTCCCGAGACCAAGTATAATCAAGGTGGAAGTCATCCAGGTTTGACCTGGTTGAACCCAAAAGACAATTCACTTATCCCTTCTTCTATACTGATAACTAAATCACCTCCATTCAGCTTCATCTGTGACAAAGATGAAGAACTTTGCCAAATAAAGGACCTGTTTTTTTCTCATATTCCCTTGCAAACTGTGCATGCCTAACAATCCAACACTGCATTTATACTATACACGAACTTCACTGATGCTTACCACAGATGTATTAGCAAGGGAATCAAAAGGTTACAAGGAGAAGATAGGAGATTGGAGTTGAGAAAACAGGAGAATGGAGTGAAGAAACATATTAACCACGATCAAATGCTGGAGCAGGCTCGATGGGCTGAAAGGCCTAATTCTGCTCCTGTATCTGATGCTCTTATCATCATTTTTGTTCATAAAAAACACACCTTAGCCAAATTCTACTCACCACCTAGACATGATCAGGTAGCTTTGATCCCACTGTCATTCAATAGGTGTGGAGGAAATTATAATATTAAATTCAATGCATGTTGTACAGTTTAAATCATACTCAGATTTGAGTACCGATTAGCAGTGTTATATTGTTCAATGTAGTCACAGTCAGTTCGACAGCATCCTTAATTGAGTTGATAAGCCATTGATTCAAGTCTCATTTCAACACTCCAACATGTGGATCAAGCTAAAATTTTGAAGGCATGCTGCATTGCAAAAGATGCCATCCTTCACAGGACACATTATGACAAGAGCCTGGCTGCCTCAGGTGCACGTTAAAGATCTGATGGATATATGCAAAAAGCAGCAGGGAGATCTACCATGGCCATCATTCTTCCCTCAAATCAACACTACCAAAACTAGATGAACTATACACCTCATTGCTATTTAGAGTCATACAGCAAGGAAGCAGATCTCTCGCTGTGATCAATCCACGCCGAACATAATCCCAAACTAAACTAGTCCCACCTGCCTGCTCCTGTCATGTACCTATCCAAATGTTTTTTCAACGTTGTAGCCGTACCCACATCCACCACTTCCACAGAGAGTTCATTCCACACACAAACCACCTTATATGTAAAAAAAAAAGCCTCTCATGTCCTTTTTGAATATCTCTCCTCTCATCTTAAAAATGTGTCCCTTCGTCTTGAAATTCCCCACCTGAGGGAAATGACAACTACCATTAACTCTATCTATAACCCTCATTATTTTATAAACTTCTATCAGGTCGCGTCTCAACTTGCTACGCTCCAGTGAAAAACGTCCCAGCCTATCCACCCCTTCTTTATAACTCAAACGTTCCATACCCGGCAACATCCTGGTAAATTTTTTCTGAACCCTCTCCAGCTTACTAATATGCTTCCTACAACTGGGCGACCAGAACTGGACCCAGTATTCCACAAGAGGCCTCACCAATGTCCTGTACAACCTCCACATGACTTCCCAACTCCTCTAATCAAAGGACTGAGCCACAAAGGTCAGTTCAGTGCACACTTAACTGGATAACAGTGATCTCATTTTTGTACCAATTCCTAATATCTAAATATTTTCCAACTTTACTGAGAGATGCAATAAAGGTAGTACATCAATGCACATTCCTTCTTTATAACTGTGCTGAAGAGTCTATCCTTGAACTTCCAATGAAGGAACTAATTAGAAGCCTGCCATCTCATGACTCAAACAGTAGTCTCATTTTTGCTAGGTTGAACACAAGATTATTCTGCTTTGCGCAAGCCTGTGTCAGGTGATCTCTGATCCTCGGCACCCTCAGTGAGAGCATCACTCTATATGTCTGTTAAAAACAGTATATGAAGATTGCCTGAACTGATTGTAATGAAGACCCTCGACAGCTGAATCACCAATGTGGTTGAATCTACAGAACTCAAGAGACTTTTTTTTCTCAAATGCAGAGTTTGACCGGAAGTAATATCTTATCCAACAATTAATGCAGTGACCTTGTTTTCCTCCTTCCAATTTTACCCCCACTCATGATTCCTGCTGGGATTAAGCTCCATAGATGATGGAACCTGTTATCAAGACAACCTTAACAAAGTCAGTAGGCTATTCAACCACTGACGTCATTACAAATGGTTCTGCTTTTGCCGATTCACAAACATGCCAATTACTCACTATTACTCGATACTAGTCAATCTGTATGACAATAAAAACCGAAAGAACTGCGGACGCTGTAAATCAGAAACAAAACCAAAGATGCTGGAAAAGCCCAGCAGGTCTGGTAGCAACTGTCAAGGAAAAACTGTTTTCTGAGTAAGGGTCACCGGTCCCGAAATGTTAACTCTGTTTTTTCCTTCACAGATGCTGCCAGACCTGCTGGGCTGTTCCAGCAACTTGGGTTTTGTTGCATTACAATAAATTGCATAAATTCACTAGCCTTTCAAATTTACACAGTTAAATAAGCTTGGGCAGAATTCAGTGGAATTTTCTGCTTTGAGGGTGTTTTGTTAAGCTACTTAGCTCATTTTCAAAAATACTTAAAACCAGTCAGAAGTACAAGCCGAGAAGTTTTCAGCTGCCCTTATCACTTTTCTACACAATCCCCGTTTATGTCAGGAAATCGGTTTTTGCACATCCTATAAAACTTTGCACAATTGCAAACATGTTCCTGAGAGCTTTATTAAAAATCTGTTTCAAACACTTTCAGCCAGAGCACAGCCTTTTGTAAAAAACTTGGTCACAGATTCAGCATTTGCAGCAAATCCAAATCCACCAACTATTGAGACCCGAACAGAATAGGTAGATAAAAATAAAACAAGAATGAACATAAATGTACTTTATCAAGTTAAAAATACATGGAGACAGCTAAAAAACTAAATCAACCTTGGCATTCACATTAAAGCTTCTGGAAGCATTGTATCAGTTTCAGAAATTACGAGCACTGTATCTCAGTCATCCGGAAAGCAACAATACTGCCTTGTAATTTTCAGCATCAAGCAAGAAACACGATATAAATATAATTGAGTGATTCTAGGATGCGACTATTGTGTAGTACAACATGATACTCTTTGTAATTATGTTTTGAAACAAATTCCATCTCTGAATATGCATGTGAAGCATTTGGAAACATTTCCTTTAGTACTGGAAATAGGAACTCACCTCCAAAACTAAACTATTATCAACGTAACCAATGACACAAACAAAGTTCAACAAAGTGTTTACAAGTTTGTGATAATTAAAATCATAATGGTCAGCGTTAATGAGTTTCTTTTTAACAACAATTTGTATTAAGGTAGTGTCTTTAATGTGAGAAGAAATCCCAGGATTTCACAGGAAGTTCACAAAATTTCCTCTCTAATGGAGTTTGTCAGGAAAACAGGGCACACTGTCAAAAAATTTCACAGCCGAAATCAACAAGAGTATTTTTCAGTTGGAATCAAAGGGAACGTTCCTAAACCACTAGTGCCTCTCTGGCCAATTTTACCCTCAAAAAGGAATGCTAGAAGCAAACGGAAACCAAGACGGAGACAGTACAATGCTCCAGTTTTTGAAATATCAGGCATTACAAAATGAGAACGCTGTAATTATTGAACAACATACATGATAGAACATAAGCTCCCATTCAGGAATCTAAGAGTTCAGCCATAGAGTTTGTCTCAAGTAAATGTGAGGACAAACTGCAAGGTGGATCAATACAAAATTTTACTAATGTCCAGTTCTTAGCGATTAAATGCATCCTCATTTGATTCACATTTCAATGCCTGTGCCAAACAGTGTTAAAAAAGACTTATTAATTGGGTTCACTGGAGTCCTACTTGTGCTTTGAACATAGCAAGACATAGCTGAGGGTAGCTTCGAAAATTTCAAACATTGCAATGTAGACTTCAAATGGCATATTCACGACCAGGAATCCAAACAGTATGGCAATCTTTACAATTATTTTAGGATCAAAGGCAATAATATTGATCCAGGCAAAGGCAGGTCATAGATCTTGCTTCACCATTCAATCATTTTTAATATATTCTAAGATACTAAACTAGAAACCCTAGTTTGGAAGGGAAGATGTTTACCTGTGATCTGGCCTGAAGGCTCGCATGTTTGTCAACAGCATGGTTTAATGACACAGCACAGCGAAGCGGTAATGTCCAGGAGACTGCCTTACATGTATTGATATGGCAGCTTTAGTATGCACCTCTTAATTCAAAGTTACTGATAATTTAGATTGTTTTCTGCACTAAATCACAATATTACTTTGTTACTTACATTGCTAAATGATTGGCTCATGCATTTTTTCAACTGCCAATTAGACAAATTATTTTAAGAAGTGTGCAACCTGTCAGTAAATAAAACAAAGATAACAAGGCGTAGAGCTGGATGAACACAGCAGGCCAAGCAGCATCAGAGGAGCAGAAAAGCTGACGTTTCGGGCCTCGACCCTTCTTCAGA